GGCAGAGTGGAGCCGCGGACTCACCCACTGGGCTTTGGGGAGCCGAGGAACAGGTCCGGCACTGCTGGGGCCATCAGGTCCTGCCGGAGGACTGCCTCCGCCTGCGCCTTCGAGACTTCAGCAACTGCGAAAGAGGGCAGATGTTCTGTGAGACCTTCTGGAGCTCGTGGCCTGATGCACAGAGGGACAGACCGAAATCTGTCCAGTTGATGCATGTCCATCCCTTACTACACCCTCGTTACGCGCTGTAGAAAGGGGGTGGCGAAAGCGAGATGGTTAACGGCACAAGTCTCTGGTGACAGCGTTGGGTGTTTCATCACCGGACTGAGATGCTGCTGCCACCCCTCCCTCTGATGGCACGGGGGGTCCGGACTCACTGTAGCTCAGTCCCGCTGGGGTGAGGATGCCCGCGCAGTCGGGGGACCGGGTGGCCTGAACAGCGACCAGGAGGCTCAGGAGGACGCTCAGGGTGCAGAGTTTCGCCATGCTGGCGCCTGGGAAAGGAGGGTGCCCGCAGCAGCTGGTCAGAGCCGCGTGGCCCTGGCCCGGCCACCGAGGCACGGAGCCGCTGCTGGGTCAGGTTTGTGGCCCTGTGCTTGTTGGCTCTTGTGCAATAGGAGCGCACGGCTCCCGTGCAGCGCCCGGCGATTCCAAAGCGCTGGCGGAAGGCTCAGCCTTGAAAACCTCCCGCCGGGATGCGAGCTGGAGCGGTGCTCGCAGCAACGTCGTCCCTGCTGAAGAGCGTACAGACGCCTGCAATGGGATCAAACCAGCAGATAAACGAGCTAAAACTAGTTGAGAAACGGATGGAAGTTACGGAGGAGGCTTTAACCGCATGGAAAGGTGAAAAGTGTCATCTGCCTCCCTGAAAAACATTTGGAAATTGTTTATGATGTTTGTAATGCTCTTACAATACTCAGCAAACAAGTAATTTGGGAAGTTTAACCTGCAGAGAACGTACATGCTTGTACCAGTCTTTGCAGAGTTCTGCCCCTGGTGGGAATGGCCCCTCGCAGGGACACACCGGAGTCAGCCCGAGCAAAGCCTACGCCGAGCCGTGGAGTCGGCAAACGCGTCTTTACCTTTCCTGGCCGGGCTTCCCGTTCTTCCAACTCCGTCCAAGTCTTGCCGTGGCCACGCCAGGGATCTGCGCTGGCTTTATATATCTTCTCAGCCGAGGCTGCTGGGGCAGGAATTGGCAAAGAGGGCTGGAAACCAGGAGGTTGGGTGGAGACTTGGTTTTGTATGCCACTTGTATTGTTCCCCGAATGCTTGATGACATTGGCCGTTGACCTGGCGAGGTGAGACGCTGAACAGCAGGTGCTGGGGCAACTTGCCTTCACGTGGTGTTACCGAGGAGCACAAAGAAAGGCCCCTGGGTGGAGGGTGCCAAGAAATCAAACATTGTTAGAAAGTGACCGTGTGTTTCTTTGCTCTGCAGCCACGCTTTCTGCCGAACGCACAGGGACAGCCGCTGCCATCTCTGCACCAGCAAGGAGCTGCTGTGGTTTGTGTCACTGTCTCAGCTGGGCAGCTCAGACCAGGAGGGACAAGACTGGCATGTGTCGTGCTGAAGGAGGTCTTGGCCGTTCATCAAGGTTGTCCTCCATTTACATCAGGCCTGGGTAAGTCTGTTGAAGGCGACAGGAGTGTTTCTGTTGGGTTCAGGGAGTTTTAGACCAGACAGAAGATCAGGGTTTCTTAAGTTATCTCCTCTACCCTCCAGAATGACCCACATGCAATAATTTCTCCCGCTCTTTAACCCATTCCCAATCAAAAGCCACTGGCAATATTTATTACAACTGGTCGAAAAAATGGTGAGTGATGTTCACCCTCTTTGATAATGTCTCTACAAGCTTTGAACGCATTCATGGAAGGGACTCACAGTCCCACTCCTTCCTGTGCTTGGGCTCCATTGTGTTCTCAGGACTTCTTTTTGACCTGGAGGCCAGAGCATGAACTACCTGCAAACGCCGGGTAAGCGCATCCTCCATGGCCTCACCCAACTCTCCTTCGTGCTCCGTGTTCTGGCCTTCCCCCACCACCCCAATATTTGCGATTTCAACTTTGAGCCATGACCGGTCTTCCAGAGAGGGTTGAGTTGTCCATTTCGCTCTGAACCCCTTGGCAATGGGATAAGGTGTTCAGTGCTTGTTGAAACACCTGCTGCCTGGGGAGACAACCATTGTCCTTTGTGCGTCGACAAAGTGAGTTATGGGGCGCTGGTTCCAGGTGCATCTTGGCACGTTCAAAGCCTTTGGCTCTCCCCAGCGCTGTTGCTTTTCTTCTCGGCTTGACAGAGGAAGGCCAAGAAGCAAAGCAGGGTCCCAGCCATGTTGTGCGTTTCCACCGAAGGCTTCCAAATAGGATTGTCAAGGGAAAATAGGAAGATATATGTCCAGCAGCCTGCTGAGAGAGAGCAGGATTTATGCTTCTGTGCTGATGTACGCAGCCCATTTAGAGGCAAGAAATGTGTTCAGCAAAGTAAATCCATTGAGAAGGTTGTAACCTGCAGATGAGTCCCCCGGGGCCATGGGAAGTGTTTCCTGCCATCTGACTTTGGACACAACCTAGAAATGTCCCTGAGAAACAAATCTTTGCTGTGTTTTAGAGCAGCAGCTGGAAACCGGTCCCTGCTACACCTTGTTCCAGCGTAGGTAATGTGGGCAGCTCTTCCCGAAGCCGTACTGGAGATTTATCGGTGGAGCTTAATTATCATTTACAGCAGTGCAAGGGTCTGGGGATAAGCTGCCAGGACGAGATGGCACCGTGGAGCTTAGAGGTGGATTTTCTCCTCCTGAAGAGCTACTCTGGACCCGACAATCCCTGTGGAGGCTTAATTAGATGTCAACTTATAGCATAATGACTGATCAAGTTACCAGCACAAAAGCGTCTCTGTGGCGCGGTGCGTTCTGTAAGGGGAGTTATCTGTAAATCCGACGCTCCTGTTAGATAAGATGTAAATCTCCCTGTCGGGGCTGAGCAGAGAACCACGGCGGGCAGCACGGGGGGAGGTGATGGCAGATTAAACCTCATGACACGTTTTATACAGAAATGAAGAGAAGAAATAAATCACTCAGTGCTGCGGGATCCCACCGGGGTGAGCTCCCAGAGCCGGGTCCTTCTGGGTGGGTACGTGGGAGAGGAGGGTGAGGACACCATGGTGGCCACAAGCCCTGGCCCAGGCAGCCGCAGCGGTGGCCCCGTGTGACCAGCCTGGAGCAGACCGTCGTGCAGCCTGGTGGGACGTACGGCTCTGCCACAGCAGGGCAGGGCTGGGGCTGAGAAGCCTGTTCCTGGGGCAGGTGGCAGTTCTTAGCCTCGCTCCGACCCTGCTGAAATCAGTAAGAATATTGCTGAGACTGTCACAGTTTCCAGTGGTTTCTCCACCAGCTGATCCCATGTCCTCCCCGGCGCTTGCACAAGCTCCACGAAGCTTTGGGGAGCAAGAGCTGCTCACCCTGAGCGTCACCTTTACATGGGTGTCTCCAAAAGCAGAATTTACCATTAAGTGTCTTAGATTTCTCCTTGACTCCCACTTCTGTCTGTATCTTCTAATTGAACCGATCTGGTTTTTCCGTCGGACTCGAGGTGCCAGTCTGCACTGGCTCTTCCTGGGTGTTGAGCAAGAGCGTTGGCTTCAGCCTGCCCGGAGCACGTGCTGGTGCCCACGGCTCGGGGCTTACCGGGACTTTCAAACGTGTTAATGGAGTTATTTGTGTTGGCAGATGTCAGAAACACTCAGGGATTAGGGTACACCGCGGTAATTGTCCAGCCCTTCCGATCTTTTGGTTTTTCCTCTTTCTCGGTCGGGGTTTATATACCGGCTGTGTCTTGCCTCTCTCCAGGAGATCAGTGCAAAGCTCCGACACCCTCCGGGGACTCTCCGGGTGACGGCGGGACCCTTCCCTCGGGAGCTCCCATTGCGGTGAGGTGCAGCAGCTCATGTTGTTTCCCTCCAGTGCAAGAGAGAAGTGGGCAGCCGGGCCAGGGCAGACCCGTGGAGCCG